CTGGTCTACATAGCCAGTTCTAGCACAGCCAGGACTACAATTGAACAAACAAAGAAACAAATAAAGAAATAAGCGTATTTCATTTAGATTTCCTACTTCCCAGAGGCCTAAGGAAAGCAATATGTGGGTTCTTTTGCTGTCAGCACAGTGTGGCTAGAATCACTGGAAGTCACTAGAATAAATGAGGGTTCTAAGCAGGAGCTCTCTCCAGATTTGTGTGCTGGAAGGATCTCAGGGTGGACTGAAGAAAATGAAAGTGGGGAGGAGGGAGTTGGAAGAGATGACTGAGTGTTAAAAGCACCTGTTGGTCTTTCTGAGGACCTGGGCTCAAATTCCAGTGTTGGCTCATGGCTAGCTACAACTCCAGCTCCAGAGGGTCTGATGCCACTTCTGACCTCCTTGGACACCATGTAAACATGTACAAGATGCCCAGGCATACATGCTGGCAAAACGCTCACACATGTGAAATTAAAATAATATTTTTTTTTAAAAAAAAAGAAAGTGATCTGGATTGAGCAAGAGGCAAAGGAAGTGTAGCATGAATTTTAATTGGTCTTCATGATAAAAAACTCTGAGTCAGCTATCAGGAGGTGAAAGAAGAAGGATCAGAGAAACCTGTGGCCAGCCACTAGAGAGTTCTTACCTCTACCAATGCTCAGACTAAAGGGTGATCCTGTCCTCAGACCACTGCCTCAGCCTGAATGGAACTCCTGTCTCCTCCTGCCTTATATTCTTCTCTTTGACTAGACAGCCTTTCCTGTCTCCACCTCCTTAGTGCTGGGGTTAGAGGCCTGGGATCCTAAGTGCTGGGATCACCTCTGTGTGAACTCTGTTTCTCTTTTAGACTGGATCAATTTCGTGTAGCCCAGGGTGGCCTTGAACTAACAGAGATCCATCTGCACCCGGAGTCCTGGGATTAAATGTGTGTGCCACCCCTCCCAGACCTCAGTGGCTTAGCTCTGCACTCTGATCTTCAGGCAAACTTTATTGTTAAAACGCAAACAAGATATCACTACAGGGGAAGGAATGTTAGAGCAGACTGGCTGGGCATGAGGATGGCCTAAACAAAGCTGTTTAAACTGAGGGTCCCAACTGGGCCTGTTAGCTGAGCATAACATTCAGAAAAAGTTTGGCAGCAGTAAAGGATTCTGAACACAGAAAACCTGAAATGGATTCAAAATGAAGCACATAATGGAACTGGGGAGTTCCTGATTTCTGCTGTCTTTACTTTACTGCAGCTGTGATTCTAAACAGAACATCACACTCTATGACTGTGTTCCAATCACATCAGACAGCTACACTGCCTGACACACCTTGGTGCACACGGGAGACTCTCCCTGGAGACTGACATGCCGTGAACCACAGTACTTTCAATGGTACATACAAAGTCTTCTCTGGCGATATTTGCTGATGCTTTAACAATAAAGCTTGCCTGAAACTCAGGTTCACACACATGCTCACACACACACGCTCACACTTCAAAAGGGGAGAGCCTGTAAATAATGATAGACCAAAGATTAACTACATCAATTTATCACATTGAATATTTCTGGAGTGAAAAGGAAGACCCAGTTATAGTCTATGTATGTATTTTAAACACAGTAATGTAAAGCCAGGCCTGTGGTGTGTACTTGAGCCAAGAGCTGAGATCAGCCTGAGGAACAAGTAAGACTCCCATCTCAAAATCAAACATAAATACAAAGACACAAACAAACAGATTGCACGTCAACGGGAAAAAGGAAAGCCAATGAGTGATAAAGACACGGATGCAATTAGCAAGCTTAGAGTTAGATCAAGACTTCAACTCGAGCATTCGCAGAGCTATGGGGGACATTCATATTGATAAACCTCAGCTCATCCAAAGATGCCGCTGTCATAAAAGGTTTCTACATGTAGTAAGAGTTTCCAACTCCATAGAGCAAAAGCTGTAGGATGAAAGGAAGACAATTCTGCCCCTGTACTTAGCAGGAACTCTTACCATCCCTCTTAACAGACAGAAAACTGTAGAAAAAAACAAAGTTACTATAGTCAGAAGTGATATGAGCAATATTGTCAAACACCTTGACCCAGCGTGAGCTCACAGAAATCTACAACTGAACCTGCAAAATACACTTGCAAGGGTGCAAAGTGTGTCCCCTAGAACAGAGCATAAAACAAACCTCAATAAATTCATGGGATTGAAAGTTAGCTCTCGTTCTCTGTCCAAGGCAGCGTGGAGATGAAGCCTTGAGTTCCCCGAGGCCAGTGAAGAGTGAGGAAACAGAGCTGAGGAGAACGGGCAGTCATGGATGTCAGATATCAGATATTGAAAGGTGGGAGGAGGGGAAGGAGGAGCCATTTACCTACCTGGACCCCAGCCCTCAAGCTCTGGCTTCTTGCCCATCCCAGGGTCATAGGGGAAGTGCCGCTGCCTCACTCAGATTGGCTAGGACACTGATGCCCAGAATCTGGCCCCAGAACTTCCTGGTTAGCCCCTTTATCTGCCAGATCCATGGAAACCTGTCCTCTTTCCTCTGGTCACAGAAGACGAACGTCTCATAAGGAGTAAAGTGTGGTCACTAAAAGGTAAGCAATGTAGTTATGAGCTTAGATTTGAGGGGCGGGTGACAGTAGCCAGAGTCCCCAGAAAGGGAAGGATGGCTAGAAGAGGTGGACTTCCACTCTGACCTTGCTTTAGCTGTAGGTATTTTGCTGGGAGCACTGACCCCAAAGCCACTCTTAGGGACACCCTGCCACTGCTTTGTTTCTGATAGCCAGGGTGACAGAAGGAAGGACTCAGGACTCCAAGCCTGGATCCCCAACTGGGTGAGGATCACAGGGAGGCCACAAGCCTTTGGGACCCATTGTTGTCCACTGAGCTGAGAGAGAGCTATTCTGTGCAACCCTCTACTGCAGGCAAATGTGCAACTTCAGGAGCCAACTAGACCTTAGATAAACCTTAGATAAACCCTCAGGCCTTGTAAGGATCACAAAGAGCTCTCAGTGCTTCACAGTGGTCAGGTGATGCCCAGCTCACCAACATTATTGTCCCCAGGTTATAGATGAGAAAGTCGAGGTTGAGAGAGAAGGGACTTTTTGATGTCCCATATGGAGAGGGGACAGGTCTCTCAACCTGTAATCAGCCATGTAGAGTAGGTTTATGCACAACACCCAGATACTGAGCAGCCAGAGCAGGGAGGAAAGGTGATGAAGCCGGTGGTGATGACTGGTTTTTCTCTCTCTAGATGGGCTCACTCTTTTCCAAGGTAAATGGAGCAGAAGTCCTTGGCTCGTTTTGTCTCCTCCACAGGCAGGGTCCCAGCGGTCTCAATGGGGGCCAGGACAGTCCCCTGCCTTCCATAGCTGTGACTTCTGCTTGACCCCGTGGGTATGGGATGGGAGAGAGGGAAGCTGGCAGGAAGGCGTCTCGCTATTTGGTGGATGTTAGAGAGTATGACCCCTGACCAAAGGCACAAGGACACAGAGGTGCCTGTTTGAGTTGTCACTTGTTTTCAGGACCTTTAGTAGTGTCTCAATAGCCCCCCACCCTGAAACCAAAGCTCAGGTTTAACCAGGGCAGTGAAATCATCCTTCCAAGTCTGCAGTACCCTCTGTTCCCAATGAAGATGAGAAACTACACTGGATTCCTCTGTTTTATAGAAAAGCAAAAAACCCACAGTATTTAATTAGTACTTGAGATTCAGGATGGTCACATGGGCACAGATTAGCAGTGTGGACTGTAGCAAGATTTGTCATTCCTCAATTTCCTCCTGAAAATAAGGATACTACTCCTATCTCGAGAATGGTAGCAAGGAGTGGATGAATGCAAGTTGGCTAATGAGGTTATTAGACTCGGGAGGTGTCTACCATGGTCCAGATCTCACTGAAGTTTTCCTGTTTCTTCAGGAGGACAACGTCTCAACACAGGAAACTGCCAATTCCGAGAACCCAGTGTTGCTTGTAGGAATACCAAGATGGAAGACGATGAAGGGCATCCAGGAACCGGGAGAGGGAGGAGAACAGAGTGGCGGGATTTGGGAATAGTGAATAAACCTGGGTGGCAAGGAAGGCCCAACTGCTAGATAGTGTGGGACCCACAAGGGAGTCTCAGGGCAGCTTACATCTGTGGTTTTCAGGCCTCCAGAGTCTGTTAAGGACAGGGAGACTGGTGTAGAGCAGTGAAGACCTTGTGCCTAGAGCCCCACCCCGAGCCAGGTCTACCATCTGTGACAAGCAGAATGACCCAGCTATACCTGTGCATCCACCCTGCAGTCTGTGACATTTCTCCTCTTAGACCCTGGCAGGGGCATCCAGCATCTTGAAGTTCTTCTCTGAGGAGTTCATTGGTCAGCACTTCCAGAAGGTGGGGTTAGAGGAAGGCGATCCTCAGCCTGGAGACCTCTTCCTGTTTGAGTTTCAGTTTCCTGTACCGGTGCCCTTTGTGGCCCACGTGGGTGTTTACTGCGGCCAGGGAGAGATCATACACTTTGAGTGTGAGTGGAAACAAATGTGACCAGTCACAGGGGTGCTGCACTGGGGTGAAAACTGGGATGGAAGTGTAGGTCTCTGGAAGGGGGAGGGGCAGCCCTTGTATGGGACTTCAGTTTGAAGAAATGCTGTCTCTGATTGGCACTGAGCCTGCTATCTCCACAGGCACAATATCCATCGAGGGTTTAGATAGTCTACTACAAAAGCTTCAGGGTTACTTGGAAGGTGTGGTGTACAAACAGGGCCTTCGTGCGATGAAACACTCCCGAAAGCTGTTGCGTGTACTACGCAAACGCGGTGGCATTGACCCTAAGGTGCTGGAGAGCCGTGTGCGAGAAGCCATGAACAGCATTCCTGATCGCTATCATCTTGTTGAGAACAACTGCGTGCACTTTGCTCTGAAGCTGCTGGGCATGAACTTAGTAAGCTCCTCTCCTCTAGTTGCACAAATCCCCATCCCCGCCCCGAGTTTGTTAACAAATGCACCTAGACAACCTGCTCCGGCAAAATTCTGATGCTCCCACACACACACACTCAGACCAGGTTCCTCTAAACTGCAGGTCTTCACTCTGACATCCCAAAATCCCAGAAACAAACTGGTGTGCCTACTTGTTGAAGTTACACACTATGAAGCCCCTTCGAGCCCTTGCTAAGCTGGCCTCAAGCCCCAGTTCTTAGATCCTGATCAGACATATTTACTGAATACTATCAATCTTCTGCCCCGGTGCTGGCCCAACCCCTCATTCTTCTTCTTTCAGTAGAACTTTCTGGAAGGACACACCAAGACCAAGTTCTCAGCACAAAGGAGAACTATTTGCCCCAGAGGGACAAAGGCAGGGGATAGGAGACAAGGAAGAGGGGAGAAAGGGAAGAGATATTTACCTAGAGGAAGAAAAGACTGCCTTTGGATAAAGGGGAGGCAGATGTGGCCCAGAGGCAAAAGGGAGCTTATTAAGGGAAAGGGGCAACCTCTTGTTAGGATGAGTTGGCTTGCTTTGATTGGGCATGTTAATTAGGGTAGACAAAAGGGGACTTTTGATTGCAGAACTTCAGTATTTTGATACTGGACCTTGGTGGTCTGCCTCAGGAGGAGGAAGAGGCCAAATAAGGGAATAGACCATGGTGCTAGGAATGTATTATAACAGTTTAGCAAGACAGAGGGAATGAGGGAGGACAAGATCTGCCAGAACTGTGTTTGCCCTGCTCAGGCCTACTGGAGCCCTTTCCTTTCTATTGACTCAAATTCACCCTTCTGAGTTCCACCCATTTCAAGCAGTCCACCGATTCTGATCTCGGAGTTTTGAGGATCCTAGTTCTACAAATCAGGACAACCCTTGGGAAGTCTTCCTGTCTCCAAGCCTTATCAGGGGTTCCAACCACTCAGCCCCATGCCCAAAATTCTAGCCTGAAGAGATGTGACCCACACATCAGCCTAGCTCAGGGCTTTCTCTCCATTCAGAACTGTTCCTTCCTTGCTTCCTTCTCTCTGCCCCTGCCTCCCTCCCTCCCTTGGGTCTTGGGAACCAAGCTCCAGGAATCACAAGTCCCTGAGACTTGGAGGTTAGACTAGACCCTAACTCAGCCTGTTACTTTTCCTTTCCCTCCTAGGAATAAATGAACATGGACTCAACCATGGATTAGTGTGACCCTGGGCCCTCCTGAGTGGGCCAGAAGAGGCTTCAGAAAGAATCATTAAAGTATTTTCTAAAACTTAATTAGGACTTTAGCTGTTCTCTCTACTCCATGTGGATCTGCTCTGCTCCCAGAATGCCCTTGTGCTTGCTTCCGGGGTTCAGCCTGCCCTTAAATTTGACTTCTTCCAGGACACTGCTAAGCTTCTCACATAGTAGGCAGGTTGCTCCCAGAGGGATTTAGAGGGGGTCAAAATGGAGATTGGAAAGGTACCATCCCTAAATCTCCAAGGCGAGGGTGGGTGGACCCTTGGAGGTCAGACGGTCAGGGTTGGTGACAGGAGGTCCACATCCTCCCAGGACTGTGCTGTCATCAGTCCAGCAGCCTAGTTCACTGTCAGACCTGTAAGTGATTGCAGTTGCTTTAAGTGCAGAGACATGGGTGTCAGGGGATTCTTGAGGGATTAGGGCGGGGCAGCCGCTGTTCCCCCTCCCCAAGTCCGCTCACCACTACCCCTGCACTCCGCGGTGGTGCTGGCGCCTTTCATAATCTGAGTGCAGTCCAGATTGCTGAAAACCCTCTAAACCCTCCCGCCAAGCAGATTGCAGCATGCGGAGCAAGACATGCGCACCCTGCCTTGGCCATAGCCCATTCCAGAGGCTCACACGCCCCGCAGCGCAGACCCAAGTCGGCGTCCCCCCACACCCCCATTTCAAGGAAGACTAGGGCGGCTCGTCCGGAATATGGCCACGACCTAGCAAATGGCTAGATCTTCTCCAGGGATTATAAGGGGTGAGCTAGGGAAGTACAGGCAATGAAGCAGCTGACACTGGCACCATGGACAGCGTCCGGGAGTTGGAGAATGGGAAGGGGGGCTCCCTAGGTGCTTACCTGGGTTCCTACAACCTGGCAACCTCTCCTTAAGCAAACAGGGGACTCAAGGCTCGTCGGTGAGGAGCCCCCCAGGCGGAGTTCTCAAGGAACAACAGACAAACAATACAAAAGAAAACCCAAACCCAGCACACTTTGGAGGAATGACCATTCCTGAACTGGAGTTTGAGTCCTGGCAACTGCAGGAAGCCAGCTCAGGATGTAGACTGAGAAACTGGCTCCTCCTACAAATTCATTCCCCCTTCTCCCACCTCATTCTTGCCCTCTTTCCCACCCCACCCCTCAATGCACTATGATTCAGCCCTGCTTGTTTAAAGTATGGTTCAGCTCCCGACCTCTGTCTCACTTATTTATTCGTTCACAAACTCAACAGCAATCATTTATTAGAGGCCTACCGCATAGATCATGCAATACAGCAGTGAACAGGAGACCACAGATTGCTCTAAAAAAGGAAGAATGAAGCAGTGGCCATTCAGCTTCTAGGGTCAGCAGGCGGAAAGTGGGGCGGCTTCCATTTTTAGGGAACACATAAGAAATGGGTCTGGGATCTCAGGGAAATGTCACACAATCCAAAGCACTAGGGGCAAGCAAATTGTCTTCTGCAGAAGGGGGATTCAGGCAGGCGCACCTAGTGGGAGTCCCCCTGGGCTTTTACTACCAATGAAACGGTTACTCTGTTCCTCACTCTGGATGGCCAGTGATAGGCCTCATAGCTTAGGTGGCCACTAACAACATGGAACTCTGTGCAACTGATAATCAAAAGTGTAATTTTTGAGAACAGGGTGCAGCTTTTTTTTGTTTGTAGGTTGTTTGTATGTAAATTTTGTTTTGTTTTCAACAGGCTTTCTGAGAATCCCTGGCTGTCCTGGAACTCACTCTGTAGACCAGGCTGGTCTTGAACTCACAGATCTACCGGTCTTTGCCTCCGGAGTGCTGGGATTAAAGCTCTGTGCCAACACCATCTGGCACAGGATGCAGCCTTGTGCACATACTTTAATCTTAGACTAATGTTAGGCTATGAGCCTCTCCAGAATTCACAGCTCCCAGGGCTGGAGGACTCTGCTGAGATTCTGTCTGAGGATTCAGTAGAGGTACAGTGTCTCTCTAGTAGCTGGCTCCTCTACTTCTTTGATCTTTTGGCATTTACCCCATTTTGACTCTGGGTTTTATTATGAAGATCAATTGAAATTCGTGCCACAATCTCCCCTATAGAAATATAATGGTTCAGTTACAGACACAGGACTTTGACATGGTCCTGCCATTATTCCTCAGCATGTGTCACATTATGTGTCTTCTGAACGCATTGTTACACAAACAAGCACGTCTCTCTCATTCACGTGTAAATTTACTTTAGTCCTGACTGGTAAAATTGTGTGTGCCAAATAACTGGTTTTGTTATCTGGTTCTTAATTTTACACGTATATGTGAATGCATGTGTGTATGCGTGTGAAGTGTATGCGTGTGTTGTATGTGCACATGTATGTGTAGGTGGACGTGCCAGCAAACTACAGGGAGATGTCCTCCTTTGTCATGCTCTGCCTTATTCTTTAATGCAGGATCTCTCGTTAAACCTGGAGCCCACAGATTTCCTCTAGATTGGCAGCCATGCCCAGAGAGTCTGCTCTCTCCATGCCCTCTCAGTGCGGGGTTAGGGGGGTGAACAGGACCATGTTCGACGTTTATTGGGTGATGGGATCTGAACTCTAGTCTTCTGTACCAGCACTCTTAATTGCTGATTCATCTCTCCAGCCCCAAAGAACTGTTTTAATTTCTTTTGGATTTATTGCCAGTAAATGCTTGATTTGTGTGCCTGCTTTAGATCCCTGCAGTCAGAATCATGTAAAAATTTCTCAGGTGCAAAGCTGTGCTCAGTAGAAAATGTTAAGATGTCCTAACCTACACCAGGGAGACAGGGGGACATAAGGACTTTCTTTCCTATTGCTTTGCTCAAACATCTGACAAAAGCAATTTAAGCAGGGGTTTATTTTAGCTCAAAGACTGAGAATATATGTTGGGGAAATGTGATAGCAAGGGTTTGAGGCCGGACATAGGAAAACCTCAGTCATGAAGCCAAGAAGATGAACGAATGCTGAACCCTGTATGAGTTGAGCAATGGCCTTTAACAATAGAGAAACTGCAGGCCTTAGGACGGCTGGGACAGGAGCAGTTAAATGAAAATGGAAGTTTTTGTTCCACCTGGTCCCACAGTCATTCAGTCCCAAATAAACATACAGAGGTTTATATTAATTATAAGCTGGTTGGCATATTGTTCAGTTTTATTACTAACTAGTTCTTACAACATAAATTAAACCATAATTCTTGTCTATGTTTAGTCATGTGGCTTGGTACCTAGTCTCAGAAAGCATTCTCATCTTGCTTCCTCCGTGTCTGCGTGGTAACTGACTCTCTGCCTTTCCTCTTCCCAGAATTCTTCTAGTCTGATTGCCCCACCCTATCCTTCTTCCTGCCTGGCTATTGACCAATCAGCATTTAATTAAACCAATATGAGTGACAAATCTTTACAGTGTACAAGAACATTCTCCCAAAGCAGTTAAACACTCAGCATACTAAAGAATCCACCTGCCCGTGGAATTCTCCTGTATTTGTTATTAAAAAGAAATCTGGAAAATGGAGAATGGTAACCGATCCAAGAGCTATTAATGTGATTCAGCCAATGGGCTCTCTACATACAGGCTGATATTCCTATGCCTTCTCTATTACCTAAAGGATGGCCTCATAGTTATTGATTTAAATGATTGTTTCTTCATTAAACATTTAGAAGAAAAAGACAGAGAAAAATTTGTCTTCACAGTGCCTACATAGAATAATTAATAGTGTGGCCCCAAAGAGTCCAGCTCTTAAGAAACCTCTCTCAGGGCTCTATCAAGGACACCACAATAAACAAAGGGGGCTAAAGTCTGGGGGACTAAGAAATCTACTTACAACAGGATCCATCTATCCATGTTTCTTTATTCCTGTTTTCTCTCTTTTTCCTTTACTCCTTTGTTCTACCTATTACAAAGATTCCCAGTCATATATATCCTCATAACCAGCAATTCCCCAGCCCTTGCTGGTTCCAGGGCTGGGATTCTTTTGCCCCATAAAAATCAGAGAAGAGTTTTCACAAACTCACACACAGACCTGTGACTTTCAGCTTACTGGTGGGAGTGGCTGGTGCAGGTCCAGTGAACTACTTAATGGAGAAAGTTAGGAAAGGAATTAAATCGTCAGGGGATTCTAGAGGGGAAGGTTAGTGTGCTGCTTTATATTTTTAGGTGGTTAGATGAAAGGTTTCTTTTCAGTAAAATTATGAATAGGCCACGGATTGTATTTTAAATCAGCACTCTGCTTCTTTTCTCCCAGAATGCATAGAGGATACCAGGTAACCAGACAACCTACTTAAACAGTCAGGGGGGAGCTAATGGCTCCTCATCTGATTAGCATATTCACCAGAAGCTGCAGTTTCTAAGGGCCTAAGTCTGGAGTTTGCACTAAATTATCAGTTCAGTGGTATGCTGTTAACACCCATTCTGATCATGGGTATTGGAACTTTCTCTGACTTGTGGTTAATTATCTCTTCTGGTGTCCTTGAGACAGTAAATTTCCTGTACTAAAATCATCAGTGAACTGGCCTCTTCTTCTTTCTATGAACCACCAGCTTGGGCAAGCAGTAATTCTATGTCCTTGGATATCTGCGAATATCTTAAATGAGATGCTTTTGCCTGGACCCTAAATGCTGACCAAATGCCTGCTGATGAAGATAATTGCAGTAAGGCAGATCTCTGCTTTTACCTAGGAGAGAGGAAGGAAGCCCTGGCCGTGGGAAATTGTTTTCACATGTGGATAGGGGAATGTGGTGGGTAAGCCACAAAGACATAGAAAACAGTTCTGAACTATGGGAATTAATTCCCAATTTGTAACAGAAAGGGAGTTAGCCAAAGCAAAAATTCACAGCAAAAGACACTTTATTCACAAAGCAGTAACACCAAAATTTCCTTGAATTATGGCTTAATGTTTACGAGGCCCCCTGGTTCTGATCTGTTTCTTATAAAAAGATGGTTGAACAATTACTATGTAATGTTGCGGCTTTTAGCAAATTATCAGCCGCTAAAAGATTTCAATGGAAGATTCTCACACAAGGAAAGTTAAACAG